AAATGTTCTAATTATTACCAAGTGTTATATATAAAATTATTTTCATTTCTCTTTGACCTGTTTGGATATCACTTTAGAGGACCAATAATTTTAGTTTTTAATATTGAATCTACTTCATTTTAGTGCCCCCAAGAAATCACTTCAGTGTACATAAAGCATATGCTGATGCCCTCGTGAGACTTTTAGCAAAGGAAGGAGCATGTATCTATTTTTAACCTTGCTATCTGGAACAGTGTCATCAAATATTCCCTCTAAAGATCCTTTATGGAATCAGCTCTCTCACTGAACATCCGACTGAGGCTACAAGCCACTAAGTGGCTGACTTACGCTAATTTATTACAGCAGCGATTGGAAAATAATACACCCAATGAATCATTAACACACGTGGTTCAAAGCTGACTGTGGGCAGCTGGGCAGAGCTCCCCTTGCTGAATTACTCATTCATCCATTCATCCTGTAGAATGTAGTAAATGTAATACAAACATTGACTGAGTACCCACTAGGTATCAGACACTGTTCCGGGCACTAAGGATGCAGGAATAAGTCAGAGACTAAAAGCTCTGCCCCCCAGAAGCTCTGTCCTACCAAAGGCAAAGGACAATCAATAAGTAAATTACCTTGTGCATTGGCAGTGAAAAGGACTAAGGAGAAAAATAAAGCAGGAAATTGCTAGAGAAATAAACCAGGCTCTTCCTGAAACTCAGGGCTCCCCCTTCCCTGTTTGGAAGGACATCACAGACCAGTTCCTGAGGATATCTCTTCTGCTTGTGCTTCCGCAACAGAGCCATCCTGTTCCTCCCGTTCCTCCACCCCCGCACTGCCTAAGGAAGTGCCCAGCCCAGCCTTGGTCCAGCCCCAGCCCCAGCCCACAGCCTTCATTCCCAATGGGAGCGGCCACTCTGACTTCACATTTGCCCTCAAATGTTAAGTCAAACCAACATCCACCATGGAAGCAAGAGATCTTTCATCCCACTGCCTTCTCTCTATCTTTCATGCTCCACTTAAGGAATCCAGCCTCATGCCCCCTTCTCGCCCCACAGCCTGATCCCATCAGGAAATATGCTGGAGTTCCAGACAGGCACATCTGCCTTCTAGGAGTTTTGGAGGACAGAATGCATCTCCCTTTCCCCACCTCCTGCTGAAGCCCCTCCTCCATCCCTCTGAATTGGGGAACCAAGCCATACAGCAGTTTACAATCAGACTCTTCCAGCCGCTCAGCCAGTGACCCACGCTCCTTCCCCTACATAACCTCCCCCACTGCACCTGATCAACAGAGTCCTGGATGCTCTCAGATGCCTGTTGGGGGGAAAAGAAGGGTAAATGAGGAAGGCCAAAGAATGCATGTCGCCCCACCTTGCTCGCCCACTTGGTCCCTCACCCACTGGGCTGCCGCCCGGATGCTCTCAGTTTTGGTGACATCCAGGAGGGTGGTCTGCAGACGATAGGAGGTATCCTGGAGAAGCTTCTGGGCCCCCTCCTCACTGAAGCAAGCAGCCAGCACCCTCATGCCCCGATCAACCAGCTGCCGAGCCAGCAGGTTCCCAAAGCCCGAGTCGCAGCCAGTGATGAAGACGTACTTCTCTGAGAGGTTTCGTACCAGGTTGCAGTTCTTGAACCAGCGGTACATAAAGGAGAGGTCCGTGAGAGCCGCCATCGGGCAGGAGTGGGGAGAGGGCCAAGACGGAGCTGCCTGGAGACAGAGGAGGCTCTTCCCCTCAGCCCCCAGCTGGTAGTCTGCTGCAACCTGCGGGGAAGAAGAGCTCGCCTCCCTTCTACCGCTTGCCACAGATGCAGGGCCCTGGGTGAGACACTCTAATTTTTATAGGTGGCTGCATCAGCACATCAATTAGCCTCGATGCAAGAAATTCAAGTCCAACCTGAAGCCTTGTCACCTCTGAAAACTCTGGTGGCTACCTCTCTCTCTCTCCCAGGAAGATGACGGCATGGAAAGAAATACACCAAGCGTGATGGAGGTGAGAGGCACCTCATCTGGTTGGTGGGCTCTGGGGTGGGTGGGTGGGGGGCGGAGAGGTTGGGGGGGGGGAGAGGAAAAAAAGATTGAGGCAAAAGAGTACCCTACCCCCTTGGCCAGGGACCAAAATAATTTGTCATAAGTGCAGGCATGTAAATAAACGTAAATGTTATCCTCAGGGAAAAGTAAGGCAGATTCATGTAAGTCCAACCGAAACAAACAGAATGCTGTGTGTTCCAAACCCCCAGAGAAGGGAGCTCTAGGTTCCCAGCCCAGGTGGATCCCCATGAGGAGAGATGGTGAAAAGCACATGTCCCCTCAGAGTGTCCTGTAGGTAGGAGGGGCGCTGGGAAAAGAAAGGAAATGAGACTGAGTGTGAGGCACTGAGGGCCACACCCAGGATTGCCTAGGCTGAGGGCAAGGAACGATGCTAGGGTCAAGGGTGGTTCCAGGAATCAACCACCAGAGGTTACAACATCCTACACCTTCTCGGTCTAGAGGAGCTGACCAGAAGTGGGGGGGGGCCCATGTTTCCCTGAAAGGAGAGACCCAGGAGGCATCGCTCGCCTCCACCGTCTACAAAAGAGGAGACATTCTATAACAGGGGTGACAGGAAGTGGGGGTTCAGGTCAAGGATCCAGCCCTGAAAGCGGGCTTAAAGCCTGTAGGGATGGGAACAAAGAGTGGGGGGAAAGCAAACCTCCCCTGCTTTCTACCTGCTCCCAGGCCTGCACCTCCCGAGCTGGATTAGGAGACATCTCCCCGCTTGTCTGCTCCCAGGGTGAATTCACGGGGTGAGCTGGGGGTGAGCACGCAGAGGATGTCATGTGGAGGTTGAACACATATTCCCAGAGTCAGTGGCTCTCCAAGTTCTGGTGAAACCTGGTGAAGCATCAGGGGCTGGTCGAACCTGGAGAAGGCTGATTCAGGGCTGCCCCTCCCCAGGCCTGGGGCGGACCAGCACCTCTATCATGGCTCTGCTGAGGGCGAGTCAGCCAGTGCTCCCCATGGCAACACCAGATTGTGCTATGCACACACATGTGAGTAGCGTCAGGAATCCACACAGAGTGTCCTTTCCTCCAGGCCTGGGGAAACCTTCCCCTCTTAGGTGATAAGCCTCCCTGCCAAGTTGGGATCTGAGGCCTGATGTCGGCAAGCAAGCAGTTACCTTCTGCACTCCCATCCCGTGCCCACCGAATAATGATGTCTTCCCACCCCCCAGGCCATTTCTACCCCGTGAAACTGGTGTTGGCAGACCACCAGCCATTGCAGGTGCCCAGGAGATGGACAGGAGGCAGAGGAGATGGGACTGGGCCTCCTTCCCTCTCTGCACACTCTACCCAACAGGGTCCAATCCTCAGGTCAGCAGGAGGGCCCGTGAGGCGAGAGGTTTCCGTGGCCACCAGAAGAACAGGACACCGATGAGTGCTGTGGGTCTCTGTCCCGAGGGTACAGCCGTCTGTTCTTCCTCCTAATACTGGCAGAGGGCCCAGTAAGGTTCCAGAAAACAACAGAAAACAAAAAACCTAGGGCAGGGGTCCAGTCAGCAGGGACTGAATGGTGTCCCTGGAGACTTCAAAGGTCCCCATTGCCACCCTACTTCCCTCCCTTGAGGCTCTCCATTACACCTCATCGCACTTCCCGCCACCATGCATCGCAGACCTGCCTGCACAGGCCATCAGCAGGGCTTGGGGAGTTCAAGTGAACCGTGGCAGTTACCAGGATCAGGGCATCCCAGTTAGCTGAGTGGCAGGCATAGAGTGGCGTCAGCACGTGCTCCATGCAGTCTGTCACCAAGCACAGGGTAGCAAGGGCTTCTTGGGAATACTTTCAATTCTTCAGAGATCTGTTCAGAGTGAGACAGGATCCACATGTATGTGCACATCTCATCCCTCCCACTCAAGTCTCTAATTAGAATATCTTGGACTTCATTGCATGTCTTAAATCCACTACGTCCTCCTTGGAGAGATCCCTGACCTTGGTGGAATGGTTTCCCAGTGGGCTGTGATCCGCATGGCTGGTGATTTGGAACCCGCAGCAGCTCCTTGGGAGAAAGACTGGAGTCTCTACTCCCGTGAACAGTTACAGTCTCAGAAACCCACAGGGGGCCGCTAAGAGCCAGCATGGACTCCATGGCAGTGAGTTTGGACCAGGCAGCAGTTGTTCCCCACTGGTCAGCTCTGAGAATTCCTGGTTGGCACAGGTTCTGCTAACACTAGCAATTTAGGTGGAAACCAGCAGAAAAATACGAGGTTCCTCTGATTCCATGGTGTCTTCCCTCTCATGATTCACTGTTGTCCTCAAAATAATGAAGGGGGTTCTCATAAGTGGACCCAAGTCTAATTATTCTGGACCCTTTTCTGTGAGTAGCCGGCTGACCAAACGGGACCAGGAAAATGGAGCTGAACACCCCCTCCGTCTATGAGGCAGCCTCTGGAGGACAGGCTGGGTGAGACGGATGGACCCACGCCTTCCAGATACGGTGTGAAGTCCTCTGTCCTTTCTCTAGCCCACTCCCGGTAAATAAGAAACTCCTGACCATTGGTTTCCTTGACATTTGGCTTGGTTCCATGCGGTGACCCGCACCTGCAGAGGGTTTACACAGGGAGAGGTGGAGTGGGATTTCTAAGAAAGACAAACAACAGGGTTAGGAGGACTGGTGTAAATGCAGCAATCAGCAAATTTATTTTTTAGCCAGCAGATAGATATACCATCAGTATCAGGAAGCAGGGTACAGGAAACCTAAGTGTTTATTTAAGCTGACTAAGATGTTCCGTTACTTTTCTAATCTAAGAATGACTAAAGAACCTTCTGTAGCAAAAACGTTCCTTTCTTATCTAACAGAACTCTGCACAGGCTGTTCTCTACAAAACAAACTCATAGGACTTGATATGAACTCCTTAACTATTAATATGCAGAGGTAATGAAGGGTAGAGTTCAGGGCTGTGCCGTGTTCTCTCCACCGCCCAGACTTTGCCTGTAAAGCGATGGTCCCCAACATCTCCCCCTTCTTTGTTTACTGAAGACGTCTTTACTCAAAACGTCGGCAGATGACTGTGCCTGTCTTAGGTTGTCGAGTCCCGAAACCACTCTTACCCGTCATCACCACAGTCCTCCAGGCGACCATGACCTGTCTTAGGTTGAGAGACTTGGACTCAATCTTACCCGTCTCTGACTAACCAGCCTCTGCCTTATACCCCCGTTTGGGGAGGGTGCGAAGTACGCAGGTGTACTTCATGTAACTTTGTACTTAAGGCCAATAATTCAACCATAACCTTAATGATTAATAGAATAACACTACCAATGGTTAAAGATAATAAAGCTTTTGCTTGTTCCAAAGGGTTAATAGAAGACAGTCTCTTAGCAATTCCCTGAAAAATTTCATTACCAGTAAGTTTGGGTAATTATCTACTGAAAGTTTCACCAATTTGATATTCCAATAATTGTATTTCTAAAGATACATTTTTTTGTCCAATTAATAAATTTCTGATCTTTTTCCAATCCTTACTAATGTTATACAGAACAGGAGTACTACAAAGGTAAGAGGTGTTCCAATCACATCGAAGCATAACTCGAGTAGCTAACACAGATATCTGATCTGTCCTCCACAACACTGTTGGTTGTAAGTTGGCGATGTGTTCAGCTATTTGAGCATCAATGTCATGTTGTTGTTGTTGCCACAACAGATGAGAATCTTTATGCCACCCT